GGGTGTCCTCACCGGGACGAGAACTGGCGACCTACTTGCTGTGAGGCAACAGTGCTAACCAAGTCTCCACCTTGCAGCCCTCCACTCAATCTAACCGAGTGGAAAGTTTCTGTGACAGGCAGCTTCAATCCCCTTAAAACCACAAGAGCCCTCCCTCTTTGACACCATTTTTTATTTATTTTTGATCTTGATAAATGTAACGCTGCAGCACATTCTGTTTAGACGTCCTTCACCGTGGTTCTAAGAGCATCTTCGTCCAACCGTTTGAAGGAACATCGAGGCATCATGAGGACCACTTACATCCTTCTGCTCTGCGTCCTGGGAGCTGCAATGCTGTCTACAGTTATCTGCCAGAGTAAGATGACTTTAGATCATTATGTCATTTAGACAGAAGTGTTTCTTCTCACGGCGGCCTGATGGTACATCTCTCAATGCTCTGTTCTTCAGATTCACTTGGTCCAGACAAATGCTGCTTCAAACACTACCCAAGAAAACTGAAAAAAACCCACATCAATTCATATTACATGACTGATCACCGGTGCGCCAAGCCTGGAGTCATGTAAGTGCTGCAAACTGGATTTACTTTATTCTCACTAAGTTAAACACAATCATCTAAATAAGTGTATGTCTCAGTATCACGATGAAATTTAAAGTATGAAATTGGTTGTTGTTATTTTGTGTCTCATTTTCACTCCAGTTATCAGTAAAGCGTTCCCTCGTGTATGTTTTTGCTCCGTAGCTGTTCTTATTTTGGATGAAAAGTCAAAGAAGAGTGTTGATAGTGATAATGACGTTAACCTTTCTCACTTTTTTTATTTCAGTTTCACTACAAAAAAATCTGTTCCCATCTGCGTGGATCCCAGTCTCCGCTGGGTCGGGGGCATCATGAAATATGTGGACGAGCGCTCCTTCTAAACCAGCTGCCTGTTGGTCCGTCCAGCTTCTGCTTCTTCATCAAACCACATCCTATGAAATGCATGTAACCGTGTGCTCATGATTTTCCTAATAATGGGCAAATCTTCTACAAGTAACTAAAAACTTTGCTTTCTAGTGGCTTCATCTGGAGGTTGAATTGAGCCACTGATCAACCATATCCTGTTTGTGTAACGACCCTCTGATGCTTTGCATCACCCGCATTAACCTGCAGTATAAACCTCATATAAACACAGTCAGCAGTGTGAAAACTTCTTAATTTCCTCCTGAGCTGTCAAGTCTT